ACGTTTAGTAATATTTTAAGTTTTGGATTCATAAATTACATTTTCATTTAATATCACATCCAGGATATAACCCAGAATTTTTTTTTTTTTACACGATTTTAGACTATTATAAATTAATTATTGTAATTAAAATTTAAAAAAAAAAAAAAAAAAAAAAAAAAAAAACAAAACAAAAAAAACAAAAAAAAACAAACAAATTGTAAAAATTTATTATTCATCGGAAAAATTTTATTTCTTCAGACAATGTTAATTTATTTACAAAAAAAGCAATTAAAAGCTTTTCTAATTAATAAATTTCAGTTTTATTGAATCCATTATTTTTCAACTCAAAGATTTTCAGTTAGTGCAAGTTTGAAAAAGATTTAGGTGACTTAGATTCTCCAAGAAGTCCTACTTTTCTAGGTACCTCCAAAAAATTCAGTATACCCAAGATTTAAATGTATTTTTCATAAATAAAAAATCATTTTTGAAGCTTACCCCCAGTTTCAATTGAAAGCTAAAGGATTAAATTTTCTAATCCCAGAAAACAAAACACTGTACTGTATTTCAACCAGAAATTATAATGATCCTAATCGATTCTTTTGAAAAACTAAATTGAAACAGCCATGTTTAACATTTTTTTTTTTTAGAGAAATGTAAAAAAAATAACTTTTTGTTAAAAAAAAAAAACCACCTAAAATAACAGATTTTTGAAATGTTACTTTCGTAAAATTAGCAAATTTAAAGTTTAATTAATCCGTTTTAAAACAAACATCACTTACACCATGAAGTTTTCTAGACAAGCATTTCTTCACCACGGAGTCTTGGTTTTCTCAAGTCTCCATCGATAATTTGATGGCCGCATGTGTTGACAGGTTTAGTATGGTGGACCAGAGCTGATACAATTTTTCGATTTCTAAGTAAGAATGGTTTGCTATTGTATTTTTTAACTACTAAATAATGTTTAAAATGTAAAATATTTTAAGCAATTATCTAATACTTTACTGATTTTTTTTAACTGTAATTTTGAAGATGCTTTCTTATAATAATTTAAAAATAAAATACTATAAAAATTTTAAAATTGTGTAGTTACCTCTATAATGGTAGATAATTATGATAAATAATTTTATTAATTACTATATTATCAGTTATTACAATTTTTAATTAAATAACTGAGATGTAATATTATATTAATTATATCATTAATTGTATTAATATTTTTCTTAAATTATTAATAATAAAAAAAATTAATTATAACATCTATCTCACTCAGTTATTACATTTTTTTGTAACTGAAATATAATTTTATTAATATTATCTCAATAATTCACTTTTTAATTTAATAACCAAGTTATAATTAATAAAATAATTATCTGTTATCACAGATGGTAGAGATAACACTATACTTTTAAAATTTATAGTATTCAATATTTATATTTTTTAAGATCCTATTTTTTCATTTTATTCTTTATCATATTTTGATGTTTATGTATTGTTAAAGTTATTTATTAAATTTTTATTACTTAGATAATTGTACACTTATTTTACTTATGTCAAGGGCTTTCCCATAGGGGGAGACAAGCCTTGAAACACGTGACATTTTAACCATATCACTTGCGAGACACCATACCAAGAAATAAATATAAACATCTTATTCTTGACGCACACACACAAAAAAAAATAACTTATTATGGTAAAGTTTTGGTAGCGTTATTTGTATTAAGCTTTTAATTTTCGCTTAGTAAATATAGTCTTAACTTAAAAACCTAATAACCGACCAAATGCGCTGCATGAAAGAATTTTAAAACATTTTTGAAAATTAAAGGAAAAAAAAAAAAGAAAAATGCAAACAATTGTAAAAATTCTATATTCATTGAAATTTTTTTTCTTCAGATAATAATGTCCTTAATGTATTTTATTTATAAAACAAATAAAAACTTATCTAATTTGAATTAGATAGTTTATTGCAATTTTTATTTTTACGATTTGGAGCAGATTTTTTTAAAAAATGGCATTAGATGTGAAAAAACAAAATTGGTTATTCAATTTCTCCAAGGAGTCCTGCTTATAAAAAAAAAAAAAAAAAAAAAAAAAAAGGAGGTTGCAAACTTTTTGAAATTTCATAAAATTAAATTTGGGGGTAGTATGTATAAAAAAAAAAAAAAACACAAACTTTTACCAAGATTTTCTAAAAATTTCAAAAATAAATTCATTCATTTTTTTTAATAAGTTCTGAAAGTTTCATTTTAATTATTTGATTTTTGCAATAATTTCAAAATTAATGGGTTCTCCCCTGAAATTGCTACACTAAAAAAAGCGATGACCACAAGTCCTACGGTTTTAAAAAAAAGAAAACGAGATGCTTGACTCAAATTTAAAACGTGTTACTGTTAGAAAGAGGAGAAAAATTTTAAAAAATATTTTAAAAATACTTTGTTCTTTCCTCTTAAGAATAAACATTTTAATGCTGGAACTTTGTTTTTACTAAGTTTTTTTGGACCCGTTATCATTATGCTACTGACATTTTGCGAATTTTTGGAGGTAACGAATAAACAAAATTCAGGATACAGAAAGGTTTTCTTTTGCTTTTGCGAAATTTCATGAAGTGTGTGGGTTCGTTAATATATGTAAAAAAAAAAAAAAAAAAAATTGTAAATCCTAATTTCATTAAAATTAAACAATTATTTGATTTTTAGAAGAGTTTTCAACGAGAAAAAAGCGCAAAGTCAACGTAATTATGCCACCGTGATGGCGTAGACCAACATTTCGAGCGTTTTAGAAAGGATTAAAAAAAAAAAAATCTCAAAAAATTTTGGTCTTATCTTAATAAACATTTTGACGATAAAAATATGTGGCCTTTTTCATTACGCTATGCCGTTTTCCGCGAAAATGTGGATGTACCTACAGGTGCCGCCAAAGATTTGCTAAAAAATACCATGAACAAAAAGTTTTATCGTTAAAATGTTTGTTAAGGATATCCCAACAAAGTATTTATTTTATATAATTTTTTAAATTCTTCTTAGCACGTCCAACAGCGGTGGGGCAGACATTATTGGAAATTTTAGCGTCTTTTTTGGTGTTAAAAAAATAAATAAAAAAGAAACAAAAACATGGAAATTCTTGCAAAAACCAAATAAATAGTTGTTGGATTTTAATGAAATTTCCAGGACTTATTCAGTTTTTTTTTTTTTTTTTGACAGACCCCCTCCTCCAGCACACACGTACACACTTACGCTTAACTTTATGAAATTAAGAGAAAATAAAACTTCCACCCTCTTCATAAAAGCCGGAATCCTTGGAGAATTTATTTTAAATCAATTCGTTTTTGTCAAACACAAACACCATGTAGCGAAAATTTGCTCTGAATCGTAAAAACTATGACATTTAAAGGAAAGTGGAAAACTTAATTTCTTAAGATTATAAAATGAAATATTTTAAAATTATGACAAATGTCGTGGATAGAAAATAATGCTATATTCTATACAGAAATTATTCCCATTTTTATTTTTGTAAGCGAAATAGTTAATTTAAACAGTGCCAAAAAGGCTTGTTTTTTTAACTTGAAAAATATTCCTCCTCTTATTCCATGTGCTCGTTTTGGCTCTCGTGTCAATGGTGGGAGAAGCAGTGTGTTTTGATTGGTCAAACATTAGAAACTGGCCAGAACTCGAGATAAATAAATTTATGCTATTTTTAGTAATATTACTACTCAAAGATAAATTGTGAGGAAGGATAAAAAACGAAAAGGGCTATATGAATTTTTTTGATGAGGTTATGAAATTTATATAACTTTTTTTTGGAACTGAAAATAAAACATAGAAGTAAACTAAAACTTGAGTCGTACAGTCGAAATTTAAAAAAAAAAAAAAAAAAAAAAAAAAAACCCATGTGGATATTTTTTATGACGAGGAAAATTTGCAGCCGCCTGTATTATTAACTAATCTAGTGAACTAAGAAATTATTTTTAAAGGCCAGACTGGAATAATTGACAATATAGTCGATGGCGAAATTATGAATTTCGGCTTTTTTTTTGTTTTTTTTTTTTCTAATTAAAATGTAACTCATCATATTTTGCCGTATAACATTAATATTTGCTACTGTCCATTTTAGCGTTTCTTAAAGAAAAAAAAAAAAAAAAACATTTTCACACGAAATACTGATTCTTTCCTTGGCATCGAAGATATTGTACGACTTCTGGCTAAAAATGCATACATTTTTTAAAACCACTTTTGATATGCCTTTTTGTGAGTTTTCCTCGCAACTTTCCCGAGGAATTAAAAAAAAAAAAACAAAAAAAAACAAACGAAACATTGTTTTTTTTCAAAAATCCTTCCCAAGAATTGAATCAAAAAATATTTTCAGGAAATCTACTTAAAGCGGAAAAAAAAAAAAAAAAAAAAAAAAAAAAGGTTAATTTTTTCATTTAACGCCTTTTGGAGGGGCTTTTTTTTTTTTTTCCTCCCTTTTTTTAACCAATTTTCTTTTAAGTTTTAAAAACTTTACCATAGAAAGTAAAGAAATATTTTATGAGAAATTTGCATTTGACTCGTCACTTTAAGTTTGAGAATTTACAAATGCTGTATTTAGTATGAAGTTAAATATTTATGAAGTATTTGAAAAAAATATTGAAGCAAAATAAAAACTATAAAGAGAGGAAGAAAAAAAAGCCGAAGAAAGAGGACAAGTATTTTTAATTACATATCTATTTTTTCAATTATTTTTTACTAAATAAAATATGTCGGTACATTTAAGGTGTTTTGTTGTATTTGAAAAAATTCTTACTTTTTACAACTTACAGCCACATTTGAAATAAATGACGCTTTACTGAAATGCATTTTCAAAACATACAAAGAGAAACGTAAGAAACAAATTTCAAAACTAGAAATTCTAAGAAACGCTAACAAAGTTCATTTTTAACATTTTCATCTCAATAAGAAAATTTCATTACTTTCTACCGTAACACCAGGAATAAAATGTTAAACAAAAAAAATATATATAAATAAATATAAATCTTTACTTACTTGTTTATATCTTTCCTATCTCTGAGTATGTCGACATAAAATACTCAAATGTGTCAAAGTAAACCACTTCCTGCAGAGTCTGGATAATCCAATCACTTCCGGTTGGTGATAATGACTGTTTATTCTGTTGCTATTGGATAATAACAAAATTTAAAATATAAAAATAATAAAATATTTTACTATTCTATTATTTTATTTACGGAATAAAATAAAGTTGTTAAATACTTAATATATAGAATAATCATTTTTTTAAAAATAGCGAGAACACTTTAATGACACAAAAACAAATTATTAAATTAAAAAAAGTAAAAAACTACGTGTTGAATAGCCTAGGAAAATTAAAATATGTTGTCTCATAAATCTTTAAATTTAAAAAACTTTATTTTTTCTTATATGAAAAAAAATTTCTGATACTAAAAAATATTTATTCACATTTACAATTAATCAATTTAATTTACGCGCCTAATTGCACAAGCAAGTATGATGGAAGTTAAAATTTTTAAACTGTTATGGGGATAAAATTTAATTATAAATAATGAAAAATTCCATAATTTTTATTCGTTCTATTTCCAATAAATATTATTAGATAGTTAAGTAAAAATTTCGTCCTATCATTTAATGTTAATCCATGAATTCCAATTAATTGATTTGCGTTTTAAGTATTTTTTGCGCCATGTGTCTGTTTCTTCTTAGGTGGATGTTTTATTTAATCCTTTTTTTTACTACACAATGTGAAAATATTGCTGAAACTAATTAGTGAACCCATGCACTATGACAATTTTATAAAATTTGTGAAATGTTCACTTTTAAAACATTTACTGCGATGCAAGTTATAATTTTATTAATTTCTTGCAAAGAATAATCCTTGGCGAACTTTCATTCATCGCAAAATTTACCTTTTTTAAATTCTTTTCCAGTTCTTTATTTTAAAATTTACAAAATATTGAGTTGGTGCATAGATGTGTCGAACGAATCAATTGTGTGTAAGAACAATAAATTTGAATGGTAAGAAAAAATAAATTTATGGATAGTTAAGAAAACTTTCGGAGAGAAAATTTATATTTTCATTTAAAATACGTAATCATTTTTGATTTATGTAATGAATCTAGCTAGATATTGTTAAGTAAATGTAAGTAATTTTTAATACATAAAAACTTTATAAAAAAAATTAGGTTAGGTTACCAACCACCCCAAAGTGGCCAAATGGATGCTTTTTTTTCCGAAATGAAAACAAAATCTAAACAACTTGTTTTAAAATATTTTCAAAAAATCAGAGAATTATTCGATTCAAACGAAATTTTTAGTAGTTATTCATTAATTAATGAATATGTATACAGAGAATGAGTTTATTTTCTTAGAAAACTTTGTGGTAATTTGGGGGGGTTGTGGGGTTTTGGTCTGTTTCCTCCTCCCTTCTTTTTCGATATTTCGTGTGTGGTGTACTTTTTAATTTGTGGGTTGAAATTCATCTTGTTGCTGTTCGTAAGAATAGTTTTTTTTATTTAAAGACATGTTTGAATAATAAATGTAAAGTCTAATGCCATTTTCGAGTGTGATTCTTTTTTAAAAGAATTTTTTTTTTCGTTTTAAAAACTTTATTTTTTTTTTTTGGCATGGACCTTCAAAAAGGAAATAATTTTTGTTTGCATTTACCGCCTTTGACTACTTTTCCCTATCGGGAGAATAATTCAATAACACTTCTGACTTCAGAATAATTTTTTTTAAAAACACACTTAGGAACAATTAGATATTTTATGCCATCAAACATGTACGAAAATAAAAGTAATGTTAAACTCAACAGTGTTTCACTATCGTGTATACGTGGACTGGATGGCAATGGATAAACAAAACACAAGATGCAGAGGGTCGAATCGCATGGTTGCTTTATTCCCGTCCAAAACTACAATCACACCACTCAAGGCCGTGTAGACCCTAATTAGTTCCTCATGCAACATCTTCCCTTTTCTGAAAAACAAAAATAAGAATAAAAACAAAAGAGATCTAATAAAAGGCAACAGACAAAAATAAATAGTGACCGAGGAATTCATTGGGCTGACTACCCTCTTGCCTAACAGGGCTTATTCTGCCATTTCCACTTTGGACTGAATTTAAGATGTATAGTCCTTGAACCTAGCAGGATTTCTTATTAGTCTTCCTGACCGTGTCATCCCCACCCTTTCTGGATTTGGTTTTGTAACAAGAGAAAGAGTGAGCCCAACACCATCTCCAACAAAACTTTTGTTGGAGATGGTGTTGGGCTCACTCTTTCTCTTCTATCATTTTCTTGTTGAAATGTCTGGGGGTTACAAGTCTCTTCTGTACCCGGTCCTACATTCACTGGTACCTCACTATGCAATTGGTATGGCTGGTAGATCGGTGATAGTAATGGGGGTGATTCTGTTGTTTTTTTCAAATCCACCCTATTCCGTCGATGCAGCTCTCCATTAACTTTGATATGGTATGACCTCTCATCCAGTCTCTGCCACACAATGGCTTTCTTCCACTCTTTCTGACCTTTTATGTGGTTTCATCCGTACCACATCTCCGGGGTGCAATGGTTGAAGTGGTTTTACTTTGTGATTGAAGTAATGCTCTTGCTTCCTTCTCCCCCACTTAATTATCTTGTTTAAATTTTTGGGTAATTCTGGTTTGAGTAGATCTTCTCTGGGTGGAAGAAGTGTTTTTGTTCATCTGAACATCAGTTTCTGTGCCGGTGATAAGAGACCTTTAGCTGGCGTATTCCTGTGGTCCAGCATCGCTAGGTATGGATCAGCCTTATCATCCATCGCTTTCCGGAAGAGGTTCTTTGCCATCTTTACCGCCGATTCCACTTTTCCATTTGCCTTGCTATTGTAAGGACTGACAGGTGTGTGTGTGTAAAACACCACTTTCTTGCAAAAGTAGAAAATTCCTGGTTACTGAACTGGGGTCCATTATCAATGACTACCTGATCTGGTATCCCATGTCGTGCAAAATGGTGTTTAAGTTTAGTGATCACCGTCTTTGCCTGTGTAGTTGGAAGATGATCAATTTCCCAGAAGTTGCTCATGTAATCAACTGTGCAGAGATAGTCCCTATCAGCAAACTTGAAGAGATCTACTCCTACTTTTGCCCAGGGTCTCTCAGGAATCTCATGGACCATCTCATATTTCCTACATGTAGGGCATTTTGAAACATAGTCTCTGATGTCATTGTTCATATTTGGCCAGTACAAACATTCTCTTGCTCTTCTGCAACATCCTTCGACTCCTAGGTGTGTGGAATGCAATCTTTCTTTCAACACAGCCCCCTGGGTGATTGGGACCACTACTCGGTTTCCTCTGAAAATTAATCCATCTTGTACAGTCATTTCATTCCGCATGTTAAAATATGTTATATATGGGTCAAGATGTACTGTGTCATCTGGCCATCCTTCCACAATTACCTGCTGCAACAGCTGCATGCTTCTGTCTTCCTTTGTGGCTGAGCGCAATTCAAGCAACCTTCCTTCTGTCACAGGAATATATTCAGTTTCCCTGACATCATCATCATCTATATATTCACTATTCACTCCATGGATGTATGCCCATGATAGTGTATCTGCAAGAAACATCTTCTTGCCAGGGTGGTACAGAACTATAACATTGTAAACTTGCAACCGCATCAACATATTTTGCAGTCGCTTTGGGCATTTCCCCAATTCTTTTTTCATTATTGCTTCCAATGGCCTATGGTCGGCCAGCACTGTGACCTGTTGACCAAACGTATACTGGTGAAATCGTTCAGATGCGTATACCACTGCTGACAGTTCTTTTTCAATCTGTGCATATCTGGTTTCTGTGTCTGTAAACGCTCGACTGATATAGGCTAAAGGTTGACCTTCTTGTAGCAATGCAGCTCCCATGCCTTTTTCACTTGAATCACACTGAATGACCAACGGTTTTTTGTGGTCATAGTACCTCAATACTGGTGCTTCACTCATTAGCTTTTTGATTTTTTCAAACGCCTCTTCATGGATCCGCGACCATGTCCATGGCACGCCTGTCGTTGTTAAATTGCGGATTGGAGCCATCACATCAGAGATGTGAGGTAGAAACTTTGCCAGATAATTCACAAAACCTCCCAATCGTTGCACTCTCTTTATGTCTGTTGGGCAGGGCATATCTCTTATGGCCTTTACTTTCTCGGGATTAGGACGTAAACCCTCACTAGTTATCATGTGCCCCAGGAATGATGTAGATGTTTGTCGCAGATTCATTTTTTCCGCGTTCAGTCGCATCCCACGTTCGCGACATCTGTGCAACAGTTTCCTGAGCTTTGTGTGATGATCCACCAGTGCTTCTTCCGTGGTTTTACCTTTTCCCACTACCAGAAGATCATCTGTTTTATTGACAACCCCCTCCAAGTCAGCCACATCGTTATATAGCACTCTCTGAAATATCTCCGGAGCCGGAGCAATGCCAAATGGTAATACCTTCCAACGAAACCGACCATATGGAGTAGCAAATGTTGTCAAGCTACTACTGGCTTAATTTTAGATGCCAAAATCCATCTCGCAGATCCAGGGTCGAGAAGACTTTACCGTCAGCAAGTTCTGGGAGTAAGTCATCCAGTACAGTTAACTGGAAGTGTGCCCGTTTAAGAGCCTTATTTAGCAGTCTTGGGTCTTTACATATACGTAACCGCCCATTTTTCTTGACTACCAGTGCTAATGCACTTATCCATGGCGTTGGCTCATTTACCGATTCAATTACCTTCTTTTTTACTAGTTTTTCCAATTCAGTTTTCACTTTGTCCCTAAGTGCTACCGGTATTTTCCGTGCTGCTGCAACATTAGGTGTTACGCTCGGATCTACCTCCAAGTGTATCTCCCCCGGTAATTCACCCAATTCCTCCTTGAATACATCTTTAAATTCTGTTATAATGCTTCCCAGGTGCTGGCTGCCGACTTCATCCAGTTGGGATATTTTGGCAACCCTCTTGAACTTGTCATTATTGATTGTGATGAGTGCCATCTGCTGAATTGCATCAGCTCCAAGTAGGAGGTGGAAGTCCTCCTTTACAATAACAAACTTCACTGCATATTTCTGTCCAGTTTTGGGGTTTATCATTTTCACTCGGCACTCCCCTAATGGCTTCATTTCTGCCCCATTCTACATGACAAGAGTCTTATTTGAGTGTTCAAGTGTTTTTCCCATCACATGCTTCTCATTCAATATATTGACCGAAGCTCCACTATCAAGCTGAAAAACAATTGGCTTTCCTTTCACCATCATCTCCGCCTTTATTAACTCTGGTCTTACAGAATTTATTCTTTTTTTTTGTTGCGACCATGTCTACATGTCCATAGTCCGAACCACTACCACTGTCATCCTGTTGTGTTTCGACTGTACGGATATTCTTTTTCCTTACGGATTTGCATTTAATAGCAAAGTGGTTCTTCCTATTACATTTGAAACATGTCTTCCCAAATGCAGGACACAACTCTTTGCTCGGTTCATGTCGCAGCGTACATGCCCTACACTCTCTGTCACTTTGTGCCGATGGTTTTTTCATAGGTTTAAATTAAAATCGACTCTGTTCACTTCCTTGGGTCTCAGGATTTTGGACTGTAGCGTAGCGTTTTCTGACAGCTTATATATGTCTATGCATCTTTGTAAATCTAACTGTCTTATTTTTAGTAATTCTGCTTGTGTATAGGGATTATGTATTCCAAGAATTATCTGATCCCGCAATATTGATGAGACACAACTGTTACAAAAATTACATGTTTTTATCAACGTACGAAGCGACGTAATAAATGCTCCAACAGTTTCTGATTCTCCCTGTTTCCTTGTGTGGAAGACGTAACGTTCGTATGTTTCGTTTGTTTCCCCTATGCCGTATTTATCGAACGCCTGAATTATTTCATGGGGTGTTCTCTCATCTTCAGGAGTTAAAAATTGAAACCCATAATAGACCTTTAATGCCTCATCTCCTAGCGTATGAAGCAAAAGCGCCGTTTGGTATTGTACCGGCTGTCTCGCCAGATACGTAATAATGGCATAATTATGTCATTTCAGCTTTAAAAGTTTCCAATTTGCTGATAAATTATTTTCCATACACAGGGGTAGTGGAGGTCTTATGCCAGTCACAGGTCTATTCGCTTCGTCCATACCGGGTTCAGCCATTAAAAAAAAAACAAAAAACTCCGCGTGCACCCACGTTACTTATCTGCGTTCGTCTTCCTAAAATACATTCCTCATTTCAATGAGTTATCTGTTATCTGTTACATTTTTATTTTTCGCCTTTTGTCAAGCTTTTAAAAGCATGGGTTAGGGTTCGAGAACTTCCAGGCAGGTGATCCTTAAAAGTTAAGGATCACCTGCCTGGAAGTTCTTGCTTTTTTTTTTTACAAATTGGACAATTTCTTGCATTGACGTACAGTTAAGTTTTGAGTTTCTAAAACCTTTTTGAAGTCTTTATTTTTACTTTATTTGTGTTTCTGTTTTTTTCTTTCTTTTTTGTCTTTATTTCATTTTTTCCTTTCTTGGGATACCCTCCTCCCCATTGTTTTTTTGTATTACTTTGGTTTAATATTTATTTGAATTAACTTTGGTTGCCCAAGTTTTTTCTTTCGTATTATTTTCGGTTTATACTTTTTGGAGAAAAAAAAAATCGAAAAGAACAAAAGTTGAAAAGAAAAAACTAAAAGAAAAAAGAATACAGATATTTTCGTTTTGTCGCGGCCAAAATGGCCGACGACACAAACGTAAACATGACTCCACCAACGGAATCACCGCCGGTGCAAACTCAAAATTTGTTACCTGCGAAAACACAGGCCTGGTCCCAGAGTAGACCGAAGAAAAAAGACTCTTCGTATTACGAAGAACAACGGCTGAAATACGAAGAGTACGTGATTGGGAATGACTTTATCACAATTCCGGAGGCCTTGGACGCTGTCAAGGTCAAAGTTATCTCTCTGCTGACATCGGATGTTAAAACCCATACTGATTGGAGTCAGCAGAGACAATGTAGAGGATGCTCTAGAGTCTAAAGACACACAAGATTGCCCCCAAAATGTTAGCCCGCAGAAGCAATGCCATGTGGGACATTCTGCTTGGTTCGGAGCAAGAGGCGAAGCAGTTGGCCGGAAACATCTTGTCCACACCAAACTTGCGCCTCCAAACGGAATACATGGGGACGAGAAAGACGCGGATTACTGTCCACGGCGTTCCTGTCGACATTACCCAAGACAGAATAGGAGCGTTTTTCGCCAAATTCGGCCAAGTGGAGGAAGTTAGTGCGCTCAGAAGCAAGTCAGGCATAGCGACGGGAGACATGGTGCTCCAGGTGGTCCTGGATAGGGACAACTTCCGGGACATACCAAATGTATTGACTTGCCGGGAGAAGAAGATGCTGGTGGTAGTGGAGGGAAGGAAGCCGTGTTGTTGGGCGTGTGGTGCGGTGGAGCACATGGCAAAAGAGTGCCCCGGGAAAAAGGCCCAGCAGACTACAAAAGAGACTCCAGCAGTAGCAGCGGCAACAGCAGTGACAGAGGTGGCACCAGCAAAGGAAAAGGCTGGCCCGGGAGCCTGGACGGAAGTGAGGAAAGGGGGAAAAGTGGCATCTCCACCCTCTCCTCCAGTGCGGCAGGAGAAGCAACAAGAATAAAAAAAACTCCAGCAGCAGCAGCAACAGAAGCTTCAGCAGCAACAATCTCTTCAGCAACATCAACAGAAACACCAGCATTCGAAGAAACAACAACAAAAACTGCAGCAGCAACAAGAGCAGCAGAAACATCCAAAACCGGAACAGCAGCATCAAAAACCACAGCAGCAGCAGCAACAAGAGCAGCAGCACCTCCACAAACAAAAGCAGGTGGAGAAAGAAACACCAATGGAGGTAGAAAAAATGCCTCCACCGCGAACTGTGTCCCTGAAAAGGAGCAGGGAGGAAGATCCAGAGGAAATAGAACAGTCTGGCCGAAGCAGGGAGGAAGATCCAGAGGAAATAGAACAGTCTGGCCGAAGCAGGGAGGAGCGAAGCATGGACAGAACCAGGCGGCGCTCCTTCCCGGCTTCGCCAATAAGATATTCCAGCCCCGCCAAAGTTAGGAGCCTCCCTTCTTCCCCTTCCCGTGCTCCAACCCCTTCTTCCCCCATTACACCCCTGACTTCAACGGCTACTCCCCCACACGCGTCCACTTCCTCCCCTCCCCATCGTGCTAGGGAGAAGGAAAAGAAAAAGAAAAAGTACTTCCCGGGTCCAGACGGGATCCGTAAAGTAGATAAGGAGGAGGCAAAAAAAGACCTGTCGAAACAAAAAAGGGCCCTTTTGGGGCTCCTATTTAAACTTGACGAGGTAGATGGGAAATCGGTAGAGGATCCACGAAACTTCCCTAATGCCCCAGGTGTCATCACCGTCGTAAGAGACACCGGGGCATACTTGAAAGTTTGGAGCCATATATATGAGGCTCGAGAAGCTTATCCGGAAATAAGGGTAATGGAAGAAAATAATGAAGACCTCAAAAAAATGAGGCATTTTTGCTCTGGGAGGGTCCCGGTTCTGCTCCATCCCTCTTTGTATAGGGCCATAAAATTATTATAATTTTCCTCATTTCCTCTTTCATGC